AAGCTTTAAGTGATTCGTTTAAAAATAGAAAAATAATTTTAATATTTCGTCCACCTTATAAAATAATAACACGTCACAATTGTAAGATTAATGCAAGCTCTTTTAAAGGAATAATAATTTCAAAAATTCTGTCCACACTCATAGAAATTTATAAGTGAAATCAATTGAATTTTCAATTTTTTATATTCTTAAAATTTAATTAACATGTTAAAAGTGGTTCTCATAACAATTTAATCATTATCGTAATCATTATATTGTAATAGAAATTCATTTTTCACGCAAAGCCTAGAAGTATGCAAAATTTAATTATTATTATAAATCTTCAAATATTGAATATTTTCAATTAGTAAACTTAAAAATTTTAAATTATGAATTAAAATTGCTTTGTATTAATTGCAATATAAGATCCGTGACAAATTAAACTGTATACGGCCTAAGAATATACTAGCTGCCACAAAAATATTCTTTCTGATATTATTATGCAATAGGGTCAACAACAATGACAAACGTAGCAGGCTATACATTTTTCCTACCTGCTTGCGGAATCATCAATGTCATCATTTACTTGTATATGCCCAAAAAAAAAAATTTTTTTTGAACCCAAAATTATAAGAAATCGTAAATTGTAAGGAAGGGTCATTCCTCTTAGGAATTGTAAGGAAGTCTTCTAATTCTATTTTTCAAATTTCTAAAATTGCAAGAACGAAGAATCAAATTTACACGTAAAAATTTAATGTTAAATTTCCCCAAAAAGCATTAAAATTTTATTTTAATTTCTTTTTGATATATTAGGTGTAGACAGTTTGGGTAACTGGTTGACAGTCGTCACTTTATAAATAGTCTTTAAAAAAATAAAATAAAAACCGAAAAGTGTCACTTTTTCAAAATTTTTTTCTTTTTTTACTTTATTCAATGTTGTTCTGAATAAAAATTTTTGTTTTTCTTTTTATTAATTTTTGTAAGCGCCATTTAAGACGCGGCGTCATATTTTAAATTAACGCAATTTGTTTTATTTTTCTGTTTTTTTTTTTTTTATTATTTCTGTCTTCGGACATAAAACAATCAAATGGACATACAATGACGGCTATTGTTTCACATTTTCTGTTTGTCATTTTGTTGTCATCATTGCTATTAAAAATATAGGACAGTAATAAGAATGTCAAAAATTTATGATTGAAAATTTTTTTATAATAATCAATTTCTTACTTATAAGAGTACATGAGTGAATTTGATATTGGTTAAGTTGTCAATATATTAAGGGTATTTACATAAATGCATTGAAAACATTATTTGATATATGTTCGTCTCAGTAAAATAAAATACAATTGAATTCAATGCGCGAAAAGGAAGAATACAATTTGACAATCAATTGAAAGTATTCAAATGTCAATCAAAAAGCAAGCATATTAAAGGATTGATTGCGTTAATAATTTTTGCGACAAAATAAATGACACAAGGTAAAAGGAAATAATGACTAAAAATTTAAGTTAATTTTTTTTTTATACTCGTATGAACGTATATTCGAAGTGTATTATAAATTTGCCTTACCGTTTGTAATGCTTAGAAATAATGGTCTGGGATATAGAATTAAAAGCAAGTTTTTGATTAGCGTCAAATTCTTACTCGATTCTTACTGTTCATATGTTCGTCGGTTTCAACGATAAGTCAAAAACTGAACTAAAATCACGGGGCAGTGGTTCTGGTAGTTGCTTCATAACTTTAAAAATTATTTGACTATCTCTCAGGAATTATTAAGAATTTTTCAGCTAAAATATCGAAATTATACAGAAGCAAATATGTTTTTGGAGCTTTTGTGTGTGAAAGCTATTGAAGAGATATAATGAGCGCTTAAAATAACCGTTGTAAAGTTTCCGAAGTTATTTCGCATTATCTCAGAAATTATTGGAGGTATGATATTATGAAAATTTCTCCCAAACAAGTACATATTATTGGAATTGTTATATTTGATAAGACTAGTTCAAATTTCTTCCATGGTTATACTCAACATACAAAATCGAAAGTCATATTTGGCCGTATATTATTGAATCTACATACTGAAATTATTGTTCTGAAATTTTGCATAAACGAACAGATCGTGTGAGACAGTTCGGTAATATGACTTTTAAAATTATTCATTCATGGGGGTGTCACAAAGTTGATATGATCAACTTTACCTATTCTCCTATTTAAATTGAAATTTTTTCCATCTTCTTCTTTTCTTTTTTAATTTTTTTTTTAGTTTATATTTTTTATAACATTGTCATTATTTTCATAATTGTATTTAAATAAGTTTGTCTCGCAATGAATTTTTAATTTTTTTAGTTGAATAAAATAATTATGATTAAATTATTAATCGTACATTGACGTAAATTATTAATTTTTTGTTTTCCTAAAAAAAAATTCAATTTTATATTAAATTAAATGGAAGAATGAAACTCAGAATTTATAAATTCTTGAATGGAATTTTTTGATAATTAAAGAATTTTATAAATAGATTAAAGTAATTTAATCTATAAAAATTTGTATATTAAGAAATAAAACTATTGTATTGCAATAAGTAGAATTTTATATTGTTATACTGAAATGCAATATTCTGAAAACGTTTTTGAAAATCACATTCTATATAAGAATTGAGGACATTATAAATTCAAATTTAATTATGGTCAAGTAATAATTTATAATAAATATTTTTTCTTAAAAATGCAATTGTCCTGTGGTAATTAATGAGTTTTAAAAAAAAATATTAATAATGTATTGTACAGCACCTTGAATGCAATCAGTACCATTTACATTTATAATAGATCATCATCTTCAAATATTTCCCTATAAGTATAATAGAATTCATTCATTTTGGTTTGAATATTGACTCGGTTAAAGCATCAATTTCAAGATCAACTATACACCTTCACTCTTATAATTTTCAAACAAGAAAATGATGAAACTAATTACGAAAATTGCCTGTATATGATAAGAATTAAATAAATTTGTTCTTAGTGTATCCACCAATATTAGCGAGTTTTTAAGATGTGTCCAACAAAAATTATTTCCAAAATCTAATTATAAAAAGCATACAATCAGTGAAACTTAAAAGTGTAGTATGTTTGGAAGGGCGTCCGGTATGCTACTCAAAAAAAAAAACTGGTACATTGGTACACTGAGAAAAAAATTTATGTCTAACATTAATAATTCCATAATTGCAATGATTTCATTCAAATGATATTATATGCTCAAAAAATTAAAATAATATTCCAATACGAATAATTTCCTCTCATTTAAATTGAATATTTAACATTCTTGAAAACTATTCGCAAAAATTACATTTTAGTAAATATTTCTGTGATTGAATATTTTCAGGCTTCTTAAATTTTTACCTTATAAATTAGTTGACTGTAATTGTGGAATGGTTTGTACATATATAAATTGATTTTTATACTTTGTTTACTTAAAAAACCAAATGTACTTCTAATGTGTACAATATAAACATGCGTTCATTCTTCAAAAATTACCGATACTTACGTGACCTCTTAAATTGGATTTGATATTTTAACAAGATATTCTAATAATTTAGAAAATTTTCATGTTTTTAATTTACTAAACCTCTTAAAACAATCTATAATATAAATTACAATATATTGTATAACAGTTATAATAACAAAATTTTTTTTTTCTCCTACATTACAAATTACTAAGAGTTCGCATTTTTTCGCGTATAAATTTTAATGTTCTAAAATTAATTCAAAAAATTTTTTGTTTTCTATCTATTTTTTACATTTTTAAAAAATATTTCTAGTCATTTTTGAGCTTTAAAATGTAAATGATATAGCTATATAGAAAAAAATAAGAAACGATTTAATGAACATGTTATGGAAACCAAAAAAAAAAAGGAATAGAAAAAAAGTTGGAAATTATTTTTTTTTTGCTGACCATTTTAAGCTACTATAAAATATAAAATTGTACAAGTACATGTACATGTAGGTTATGTAATGTAGACATAAAGCTTAACTTTATTCGCTCCCAATAAGGCTTTAATTCCAATTTCTTTTATACAAATTTTGTTTTTCTCATTTTATTTCATTCACATTCTGAATTAAATGAAAAAAAAATGGATTATTAATTTTGAACTTTTTTTTTAATTTTTTTTTGCCATTCTTTATCATTATTAAGATTTTTTTTTTTAGTTGCCATAAAAAATATAGAAAGAAAAATTAAATTTTATGCTGATTCTATTTATTTAATATTACAGGGGAGTTTGTTATTAGAAACATAAGATTTCTCTAGGGCAAGAAGCATATTTTGTGTTCTCGACACGAAAATTTTCGATAGTGTAATAAAAGAGTGCCTAACATTAAAAAAAATTTACCTGTAATCAGAGACTTTGATTGTACTTTAAGATTATTCTTACGACCTAAATCGAATCGTTTTTTGAATTAACTGTACTGACTCAAGTTGTTTTTTACAGAAGAAATATTTTAGTATACTATTCCAAGGTGTACCAATATATTTTCCTAGCAAATTTTCAAAGAAATTCTTAAAAAAGTGAGGTTGTTACAAAGGTTCTAATAAATTTTAATCCGAATGTACTTTTCATGTGGAAAATCAATTTAGTGTTTCGGTCTCTTTCCATTTGGAAGTAGAATAAATGTACCACTGAAAAATCCAACTGAAAATCCTATACTCAACTTATTAAACTAATTGGTAAATATCAAACTTCAAAACTGAAATAAACTGATAATAATTGTTCCACTCTGATATTTAAAAGCCTTTTGCTTTATAATCGGATTTTTAATTAATTTTTTTCTCTGCTCCTTTTTGTTTTTGAATATTTTCTAAAATGAAAGACAGAAAGGGAATATGAAAATTTTCTCTTTATGAACTCTGAAAATTAAAAAAAAAAAAAAAATATTTTTTGCTGAATTTGTTTATTAACTTTAATTTCTCTATTCAATTATTTTTCTTCATTTCTCATATAATAATCATTTTTTTTTTCGATTCTTTTACAGTTATGGTATGGATTTGAATGGTGCTCGTAGAAAAAATGCAACTCGTGAAACAACATCAACATTAAAAGCATGGTTAAATGAGCATAAAAAGAATCCGTATCCGACAAAAGGTGAAAAAATTATGCTTGCTATTATTACAAAAATGACATTAACACAGGTATCAACATGGTTTGCAAATGCAAGAAGAAGACTGAAAAAAGAGAATAAAATGACATGGGAACCAAGAAATCGTGTTGATGATGATGATGCTGCATTAGATGATGACGATAAAGATGATGATAAAGATTTATTAGGTAAACATTAATTTCAATTTACTTTTATGATTAAAGTCATTAAATTTCGAAAGTTGCCTAACCCTCATAAATATTAACCCTTTCTGAGGGGGATAGGCATATATTTACATATATGATTTTAATATATTTATATTTTATTCTTATATTTTTAAAATAGATGCAAAAGATTCTGGTACCGGTTCAACAGAATCAAATCGTTTAGATGTATTAGATCGACCAGAAGGTAATAGTGAATGGTCTGGTTCAAGACCAGGTAGTGCTAATGGTTCACCTGATATATATGATCATCATCATTTACATCATCAACGACCAATTGGTGGTGTTGGTGTTGGACATCCATTATTACATCCGGCTGCCTTGCAACATTTTCGACCACCAACTGGTTCACCGCCAGAATCACATCATCCATTATCACATCATCATCATTCACATCATACAGTTGGTGCATTAAGTGCATTAAGTGGTACTAATTCAAGTATAAATAAACCTAGAATATGGTCATTAGCTGATATGGCTAGTAAAGAATCAAAAGATGGTAATACTAGTTCAACAAATTCAAGTAATTCAAATAGTAATGCAACATCAAGCAGTAATAGCAATAATAATAATAATAATACAAATAATAATAGTAATAGTGATAATATACCACCACCAAGTAGTTTATATACACATCCATCTCAACATTCATCGCCTGGTAAAATTTTATCACCATTAGCAGCACGTATACCAAATTATCCACCATATGGTAGACCAGATTTATATAGAGGTTTTTATGGTGCAGCAGCTGCTGCTGCCGCACATTTAGGTGCACCAACATCAGCTGAATTTCTTGATCATCATCAAAGATCATTTCAAGCTAGTTTAGCTGCCCATCATAGTATGAATCCATTATTATGGAAAGCAGCTGTTACTGCTGGTAGTGCTGCTGGTGCACCACCATTTGCACCACTTAGTTTAACAACGAATAATCATCATAATAATAATAATACAGCACCACAACCGGGTGCATCACCATCAGCATCAAGTACATCATCATCAATTGGTGGTAATGATCAAATAAATAATAATAGTTCATCTCAACAACAAAATTCAATACAACATATCTCTGGTAATTCATCAACATCGTCTGGTTCAACATCTGGTCGTATTTCACCCGGTATTAGTAGTAATGGTAGTAAACCATGACCGATACAATTAACATCAGCTTTTACACAATTAATTAATTTTCGTGAACAACAAACAACAAAATTATTATTGAGACCATAGAAATAAAGCTGAATGGGATAAAAAATTTTTCAAGTAATTGTGAGTTCTTAATTTTATCTTTAATTATTGTTTAGATTTCTTATTTTGTATCAATATTTTCACAAAAAGCTACAATCACAAAATTTATAAATTAATTTTTTATAATTTGTTTTTCTTATTCTCAAAATTTTAATTAATCTTTAAACAAAATTTTGTCAATACAACATTTTAATAATTTGTTGTATATAACAGAAACTTTTTAATTATATAAACAAAAAAAAAATATATAAAATAAATAAATAAAATAATTAAATTTAAAAAAAAAAAATAAAACAAATTTTCTCAAATCTAATGTAGAAAATCTTAAGAAAGAAAAAAAAATAAAATATTTGGGCGTTACGCTCGCTGGCCGATGCAATGTAAACAAAATAAAAAAAAAATGTGTGATTTCTTTAGAACGTGTATGTTGTAAATTCTATTTAGTGTAATATATTATTATATAAACATAAATATTAAGTTAATTAAATATAAAATAAATAAATAAAATTAAATAAAAATGCAAAAAAAAAAAAATTTTTAGAATCTAAGCAAAATTAATTAAAAAAAATCGTTATCAGCGCTTTATGTTGCAAATAAACTTTACAAAAAAAAAAAATGTATAAATGATTTATATGTGTGTATGTATTTGTGTGAGTTCTATATTTAAAAATAAAAATATACTCACTCACACTTATACGCTAGTGAAATTTTCTATTAATTCTTTATTTCTTTTATATACTTAATATTATATACTTATATGTATATACATACACACATGCATTAATATTAAATTTGACAATTTCAAGAAGAGAAATTTACAGTCACAACAATGTCAAAATCATATTATACTACTATAATATTATTATGTCAAATATGTCAAATATGTCAAAATAGAAACAAAAAAAAAAAAATAAATAAATTAAAATATTTATAAAAATATAACAGTTGTGTGTAGATTTTTTTTGTTCAGTTTCTTTGTTTGCTGTTTTCAATTATGTATTGAATTTCGGTTAATATTAATATTAGCCGTTTGTTATATTTTCCAAACAATAGATGTCGTACTACATTATAAGTACCCGTAAGTATTTTATTGCACAAGGTATTCAAAGGTAACACATTATTCTATTTTCCTCCATAATTTGTAATTTAAACTTAAAATTAGTTGCTTCATAAAATCCGGTCTTTGAAGTTGCTCCCATTTTTATGGCAATTCCGAATTTTGATTAGTGAAAATAAATTAATTCTTATACATTCTTATGAATTCTTTGATTGTGTACAGTTTCTGTGCTTCTGAGCGTCAAATTTCGCTCAGTTTTTTTGTTTCGCTCATTTTTGGGATTTTTTCGGGTATTTCTTTTTTTAAATTCAAAATTATAAAATTAAATACACACAACTTTTATATATATATATAAAAATTTCAAAACAAGGAAATTTATTTGAATTTATAAAAATGCTTTAAAAATAAAATAAAAAACTTAATAATCACCTAAAAAGAAAAAAAGAAAATATTGTAGCGGTATAAAAAAAATAATAATAATAAAAAAATAATATAAAATGCATTATTTTGGACAATAATTTATATGTGATTTATTTGTATTGAATAAAAAAAAAGAAAAAATTAAAAAAAAAAAAACGAGAATAAAAAAGAGAAATGAAAAATAAAGAACCCCCAAGAAAAATCTGATTTTTAAACCCAAATTTCCTTTTAATATTTCCTCAATTCACAATAATTATTATTAAATCACTTCAGTTCACAATAATATTTTTCAATTATCAGAAATGAAAGCGCGTTTCTAAATTTTATTTCCCCCTCCCAAAAAATCGGTTTAATTCAATACAAATAACTTTAAGGAGACGAAAAAAAAATCTATTAAATAAAAATTTAAATAACAATTATTATAAAAAAAAAAAATAAATAAAAAATGGAATAAAGAATAAGATAAAATATTAAAAAAAAAAAAATTTGTAATAGAAAAAAAAAAAAATTTCTTTATTTCAAATTCAAATTAATTAATTAATTAAAAATTTTGTTAAATAAATCGAAAAGCATTTTTTTTTTTCGGAAAATTGTCAAATTTCGAAAATTTTTCTCAATTTCTTTAGTTTTCTATTAATTTGTTTAATTTTTTTTGAAAAAAAAAAGAAATTTAAAAATACATTGAAAAAAAAAATAATCATAGAAAAAGTATTAAAATTAATAAAACTGATACACTCTGTATTCAATGAATAAACACTGAAATAATTTTGAATAAGAATATGAAACAAAAAAAAAAATTGTTAAAAAATTATTCAAAAAAAAAGCAAAACAAATATTTAAAATGGTAAACAACTCTTAGCAATACACCAAAACTTTTAATTTATTTTACAAATATATATACCTATAAATTTATCAAAAAACATAAAAATAATAAATTAATTTAGAAAATAAATACAAAGGAAATATTTAATTTTAAGTATAAAAAATAAAGTAAAAAAGAAAAACACAAAACAAATTATTAAGAAATTAAAAAAAAACATTCAAAAATAAATAAAAATAATTTTTTTTTTGTTATGTTTATTACCAAAAAAAAAAAAACAAAGAAACGGAACACTTTGTATAAAAATTACATTAAAAATTTTTGAAAAGAAAAATTTTTTTCCTTTCAAAAATGCATACAGGTTGTTTAAATTCTTAATTTTATTGTTATAAATTAAAAATACAAAATTGAAATTATTTCTCATTCTATTCTTATTTGATGAACAAAATTAATAAACTATAATAAAGTGACATCTATTGTAAAATTTTCTAATTAAGAAAATTGAGAGCATATTCTCTCCTGCTCTTATTAATACCTACTATACTGTATACTCTCTCTTATTTTACAATTTACAAAAAAAAAATTAATGTTTTACTGAACAAAATTTTTAAATTATCTCTATTAACCCTTTCGACCCAGCTGATATACATTTATGTACCAGTAAAGCTCAAACATCCCACAAAGTTAAAAATGGCATTGTATTTGGTTCTTTGTTGAAAACATTTCGTTATTACATGATTTCGGCACATTAAATTTTAACTCAATTTTTTTTTTATCACAGACAGTTTGTTTTATAATATAAGGAAAATAGATTCTACATGTGAAAGACTATTTGAAAGCCGAATATGGAACTAGTGAAAACCGAATAGAATATTGAATATTTGTTCTCTTTTTCGAAGCAAAAAAGAATATGAAACAAAAACTTGGTAAAGTTTTTGCAATATCTTGCAGCTATATCGTTTATATTTTAAGTTATTACACTAAAATTTCAAAATGTTTATATTTTAATATTTTTACCATATTAAAGCAAAACCAAAAATCTCTCTAATTGAAATGAATTTTAGAAAGTTTTTTGAAACCAACAGATGTCGCTTATTGTTTTTGGAAAAACAAATAATTTGAAATCATATTTTTTTTTTTTTCAAAATATATAAATAAAATTTTTTTATTTTTTAATTTGTTATTATTCCTATTAATTTTAATTTTAACCTTAATAAATTCTATTAGACACAAAAAAAAAAAACAGAAAAAAAAATTAAATCATCCTATATTATCTAATTATTACTTAATTATTATTACATACATATATACTTATAAAATTATTAAAATTATAATAAAATTAAGTGAAATATTTTTTATTTTAATTATAGATTTAAAAAAAATATAAAAAAGAAAAAGTAAATAAATAAATAAATTAATAAATAAATAAATAAATGAGAGAAAAAAAAAATAATAATAATTTTCTATGTAAATATTAGGTAAATGCTACCCATAACAAAAAAAAAAATATTAAAACACATACACATAAAATGAATAAATAAATAAATAATATTAAATAAACAAAATGAAAATTGTAAAAAGAAATAAAAATAATAATGATAATAAAATTAATATTATAATTAATAAATTTAGTAATTAATAACAATTATTATAGTAAACTGTAATTGGAAAAGCAAAAAAAAATTTAAAGAAAATAAAACAAATAAATAATAAAATTATTAAAAATATTATATAAAATATACATTTATATATATATATAATATAAATATATATATATATACAAAGTAGATATAATTATAATTTTAAATAAAGAAAAAAATATATAAATAAAACTTAATGCAAATAAATAAAAATATTTTGTAAGAATAAAAATTAATTATGAAAAATAATTAAAAACACGAAAATAAAAAAAAAAATATAAAAAAACAAAAAAAAAAAAAATTATTGAAATCAATTTTGACAAAATAAAATTGAAAATTAAAAAAACAAAAAAAATTAATAAAATATGAACAAAAAAAAAAAATTTAAATGCACGTTTTTTATTTCTTAATTAAGAATTCGAAAATTTAATTATTAAACATAAATTGTATGATACAAATTTGATGATAATACCGTCTCGAACTGTATGATACGCAGGTAAGTATTATAGGCAGAATAACAGGTAGTGGTGTGCCTTAGTTGAGATCAGTTTTACGTAATACTTTGTAATGTCATTGAACACTTATCTAGTGGATTATTCTGAAAACCCGTTGCTAGAAGTTACTGTATCATCTCTTTATTATTTCTATCTTGCATAATGCCTATCTGTAACGGGTTTGAGATAGCTGATGGACTCGCCAGTGGGGTAGCGGCGGCTCCTTTCATTGAGCCGGAGACATGGTTCGGGGTACCAAGGACAACGGTCCGGCTTGCTCTAATTGACTGGGATGAGCAGGCCAGATTTGAATATTGGAACTGCTGGGGTGTTTCGGGGAGAGCAGTGGGGGAAGGGTGCAGAATCTCGCAGCTTATTGTGGCTGCTATACTGTGGTTTGCCAATGGCCCTGAATATAAGGCTAATGTAGATGGGGATGGTAATCACAAAATATCGTATAGGTTGACGTGAAAGAGGCTTAAGGCCCTCGGTTTTCGAAGGCGAAAAAAAACAAAACGCCTATCTATAAAATGAAGTGTATTACAGATTGAATTGGAATTTAGAACTGTTTTATGTTTCAAAAAAAATTTACGTTTATATAATGTAAATTTTCTCCAATACCATACCATATTGAATGTTATGGTTAGATATAATGGTAATATCTCATTACTGCGCGACATAATCTCTTGTGTTTCGATATTTTCCATGTCTTACTACAATCCTGTTACAACTACTAAACCATTATTACTAAGAATCATTAAAAAAATTCATAAAAAATTAAAATCTTTAATAACAACTTATTTTTCTTCGAGTACAAATACAAGTTATTGGTCATTTAACAATAATTTAATTATAATTTTATTATAATTAAAAAATCTCAAATTAATATTATGTTTTACACAATCATAGTAATTGTACCCAATACTAGGTATTTTCTCATGTAGTTCGAGAATGAACATTTATGACCGTCACAAATTTATTCCACCATTAATTTGATTTAATTCACTTTTCAATGTAATTATGTCAAGTATGGTATTTATGACTATATAGATACAAGTTAAAAAAGGATGATTGAATGCAATGGAAAAAAAAAATGATCACATCTTCATAAATCACTCAATTTTAATTCACTTACCCTGCTTCTATGTACATATTTAGCAGTACTATACTTAATTTACTTGAATTCTTCCTTCATAC